TTGGGGAGGTTTGATTAAGCTCTGCATGGGGTGGTTTTGGGGGAGAGGGTGGATGGAGGAACCATCTCAATGTCCACACAGGATGAGGTGGGAAAGCAGCTCCAGGATGTTTTATTTTGCCCCAAGGGAGAAATAAAACTCTGGGAATCTCTGCCTTGCCCCTCTTTGGCTCTCAAGTGGGGAACAGGAGCTGGTGACCACTGGAGGAGTGAGAAGCTCTCACAAACCATATCAAAAACAAGTGTACATTAATGGGTTTATTTTTTTTAATGGGCTTTGGACACTGAGCCTGGGATTCATCCAGGCTGGACCAAGAGCCTTGTGGCATTTGGAATGCAAATCACCCAGCTATGCCTTAATCATTACCACCGGGAGACAATTAGGGTTAAAATATAGATTTTTCCACAACAAGGGCAAACTGTAGAGAAATAAAAGAAAGAAAGTCTTGCTAGGATTCGTTTCTGTCAGCCTGTCGCCTTGAGGAGGGTTGTTGGAGGCTGGGAAACAGCCCCAGCCCAGAAATCTGCCCCAAGATAGGGGCTGGTTTGGGTAGAAAAGTACAGTTTGGAGGACTCTCACTGTAGGGATCAGAGCTGGCTGGTCCCACAGAGATCCCCCTCTGGCACGAGAGCCCAGCAGCAAATTGGGTCAGAAACAGGGAAATCAGTCAGCTGGGCTGGAATGTGATCGAAAGTGCAAAGCAGAGGATGAGGGAGCTGAACAGAAATGGCCTTTTCTGCATTTTTATAAACTTGTGGGGTTTATGGTCAAGGTAAACTTAATAAAGCAGGGCTGGAGCCTCGCTCAGCACTGCCCGAGGTTATGCAGGGAGGGAGGCAGGGAAAGGGGCTGGGGGAGCACATCAGGGGTGCCAGGGGAGCCCCAGGAGCTGGGGTGAGTGGCTGGAGCCAGGCTGTGCTTCCCCTTTGCCCCCCTGGCTCTTCCATGGGGATTTACTCACATTGATCCCACTGGTGGGAAATTCCACAATTTCTAGTCTTGGAGGAGGAAGAGAGGGGGAAAAAGGAATAAAAAAGGGCTGATTTCCAATGTTATTCCCAATCCCATCTCCCTGTGGTGTCCTGGCCCAGCTGTCCTGCCTCAGCACCATCCCCTGGAGCTGGTGGGTGGGAATGATGCCTCCAGGGTGGAGGACTCACACAACTATTTTCCCTTCCTTTTGCTCTCTGCTTTTCCCAAACAAGCAATTTTTTTTTCCTCCTTTGGGAGGGCAAGGAATGGGAAGCAGCATGTCCTGCCCATCCTCTGCACCTTGGAATGCCCTCTCCAAACCCCAAGCCCGTGGCCAGAGCCACCACTATGACTCTGTATAATCCTCACCCAGATTTGAGTTTAAGACAGTCCCTGTGGGGAAAACCCAACAACAACCGTGCTCTAATCTTTAATTAGAGAGTTAATTAGCCTCGGAGGCTGGTACTGCCTTGTGAGGGGTCGGCTGGGCAGGGGATGGGGGAGTTGCTTTGTGAGCTAATAGAGGGCAAAGACCTTTAGGTTTGGGGGTGCTTGTGGCTCCTGCTTTGGGCTGGGCTGAGATGTGGATACCTGTCCTGTCCTCAGGATTGTTCCCAGGGTACCTCTCCTGTCCCACCTGTCCTGTCCTCAGGGATTGCTCCCAGGGTACCTGTCCTGTCCTCAGGATTGTTCCCAGGGTACCTGTCCTGTCCCCCTGTCCTGTCCTCAGGATTGTTCCCCGGGTACCTGTCCTGTCCTCAGGGATGGCTCTCAGACAATGGTTGATGATTTTGGCAGTTCCAAGGGCTGGGTACCTGTCCTGTCCCTCTGTCCCCTATCCTGTCTTGTCCCCAGGGATGGCTCCCAACCAAAACCTGACTCTCCCCTCCCTGGCAGGGTGGCAGTGCTTGGTAGTGTGGGGGTTTGGGCATCACCACCCTGGCATGAGGTGTCACCCTGCTGGGGAGCTGGGGTGATGTGGGGACACTTGTGAGGCTCTTGGTGGCCTCTCCATCACCTGCTTTGTCTAACACTGAGTGAAAGCAAAGAGGTAGGAGGATACAGGGGGGGCAGGAGCCCAGCACTGTCCATGGCACAGGGCCCACTGCCCATGGAAGATGGCACTCACCAGGGAGAGCTTCTCTGGAATAGAGGAGGAGAACACATCTCTGGGAAAGGTGCCTCTTTCCAGGTAGGAAAGGGCGCTTCCTTAAGCGAAAAACTTTAATCTTCTCGCAGTAAAACCTTCTGGAAGGGTCTTCTGCACTCACACCCACGGCACAGGACACACATGGCACAAGGGGGGCACACCCGGCACCCAGCACTGGGGTCCCCGCGAGGGGCAGCAGGGCTGGGCAGCGACCAGGGGAGGGCGCTTTGGGCTCGCAATTGTCCTACCCAGCCCTTGCCGACCCCCCCAATTCCCCCCTGGGTGCAGAACAGCCTCCCCCAGCCCACCACTGCTCCCCCTGCACCCCCCCCCCCCGGGGGGCTCCTGATTTACCCCCAGCTTGGGGGTCTCTGCCATGGGGAGGAGGGTTCACCCCGTGCATCCCCTCGGGGGTGTCCCAGCCCCTCCCGGGATGCTTATCCCAGAGATAATCCCAGAGCCAGCACAGAGGGCTCCGTGCCAGGGAAGGAGAGTGATCATAATGATGGGGGGGGAGAAAAACCAGGGAAAATAAGGGTAACCAGGAAATCAACACAACAAAGTTGACTAAAGCAAATATTTCCCTCTCTGCAGGAGGGAGCTGGGCTGACTGGAATGCTAAAAACGCCCCTATTTGCATCTTTTTAAATGGGAGCCGATAAAAGCAAATACTCCGCCGCCAATAATTATAATATTTTAATTGCGTTTCTTCAGGGCTTTTGGGGTTTTTTTGGGGAGAGACATACAAAGGCTGTGTGTAAACTGGCAGGAATAAATAGCCCGGTTGGTGTGGGTTTGGCTGCGATTTTGGGGGGTCCTGCGTGTGTCCCCCAGGGACCTGCAGCACCCCTGGGGGTCAGCTGTGACCTGGGGGGGGAATGAGGGGGTGAATTTTTCTTTCCATCTCCCTCCCAAAATTCTGATTGCAGAGTCAGATTGCACCTGCCTGTACTCCTGCTGGGATTTTACAGCACCTTCACAAGAGGTGTGATTTTAAGATCCCTCCCTCCCAACACCCTGGTTTGGACAGGATGGGGGGGGCTCAGACCCTTTCTCCATTGTCTGGCAGGGAATTCCTACAAGGAAAAAAAAAGTCAGAATCGATGATCTTAGAGGTCTTTCCTAACCCAAATGATTCAAGAAACCCCCTCCCCAATTCCATCATGGTACAGAAAACAGAGCTTCTCACTAATAAACGGGTGACCTGGGGGTTGGGGGGGTGACACATCAGTGCTTTCCTTTATTTTTCCACGCTTTTACTCCACATGTTTTTTCACTTGCTTCTGTGGGGAAAGTTAGAGGGAGGAAAAGGGACCGAAGGGGGACACGAGCAGCATGGTTTGACCCAGCTGTGTGTTGCTTTTGGACCAACCCAGGACTGGGGGATCCCAAAAGTGTAGTTGTTGACCCCCTTTTTGGGGTGAACTGCCCCTCACAGGCCAGTCCCAAGGACTCTGAGTTGTTCAACCAGTAGGCACAAATCCAGAGGGAAGCAGGGTTTTTTAGCTCTGGTGCTCCTGGAATGACTTGTTGGATTTAGGTTTTAATTTCAGAAAAGAAAATAAGACTTTTTCCCCTTTTTTTTGTGCTCTGGTTTGATATAATATGGATTTTTTTGCTGTTTTATCTGTGTCTGGCCCTCAGGCAAGTGGTGACTGGTGGGGTGGAAGTAGGGATAGAGCAGGAAGGGATTTTTCCTTCTCTTCTCAGGTGTCAGCATCCCCTTTGCTCCCAGGACACACAAACATCACCCAGAGCTGTTGAAGCCTCTCCTGACCCTTTCCCATCCCATTTCCAGCCTGGCCACCAAATCAAGGCGAGCTGAAACCTTCAGCTCTTGGTGCAAATAACCCCCAAACTGGCCTTTGTGCTGGGGGGGTATCAATGGGGCCTGTTTCTTTTGGGTTAAAATTAAATTACCACACCTGGGTCGAGGGCTCTGCTCTCACCTGCAAACAAACCCAGGCACGTCTCGCTTGCTGCACCATGTTCCACGTGCAACAAGATATTTGCAGGGTCAGGGACTAATAATTTAAACTGCTGAGCAAAATAAATAAGTGTAAAGCAAAACCAAACCCGGAGCGCCGCAGGAGCAGGCGAAATTGTTTGCTTTTCAACTAGGCACACACAAAAAAAAAATACAAACAGTAGCAGGAGGGATACAGAGATTAAAATTTTTATAAAAAACAAAATACCAGCAATCCCACCAGGAAGCGGTTGTTTCCATTTTGTATGTGCATAAGATTAGCAGCACTTTGCTGCCTGCTACGAGCGTCCCTCTCCCCCTTCTCCTGGGAAAATTTGACCAAAAAAAATAAAAAAAGGATCTTTTTGGACCATGGGAAAAAAAAATAAGGAGGGATTGAGATTTCCTACAGAAAATATTGACTTTTTAAATTGGACACTGCTCCTGTTCTGGCCTGGGAGGCAGCCAGGATATATCCCCTTTTTCACTTTTCCTGCACACAAATTGAAATGAGAGGCTTTCCTTGCAAATCTTGATGCGTCACAAACCCGATATCCATATCCATGGAGGGAGGAGAGGGATATCCTGGGTTTGTGACAGGGAGTTCCAAGCCAGAGGGGAGTGAGGTGCGCAGATGGACACTGTGCAGCCACACTGCTGGACTTTGGGTCTTCTCCCTGTAAATTGTGATTCATGGAGTGCCCCCACGGGGATTTTCAGTGCCAGGTGCCCAGGGAGCTGTGCCTGAGCACCTCAGGGAGCCCTGCCCTGAGCCTGCTGCCATCCTTGCAGCTGTTTTCTGCCTGACACGTTTTTAAGATTTCTTGAGCGTTTGACTTTTGCAGTTTCCAAACAGAGGGAAAAAAGGTAGAAACCATTGGTTTGGCTGAGATAAAGCTCCAATCCATTTCCTTTTCAATTCCACTTCTGCCATTTAATGACTGGAGGTGGCTCTCAGAGCTCTGGTCTAGTTGACAGGGTGGTGATGGGTCAAAGGTCAGACTTGATGGTCTTGGAGGTCTTTTCCAGCCTCAGTGATTCTGTGATTTGGTCAGTGATGTCTTGCCCAGGTGCTTGGAGTCACTCCTGAGTCCCTGGGGCTCCTCTCTCGTGCTGTCACGTGTCCAAAGCGAGCTTGGAAACAGGCAGAGCTGGAATTCAGAGGTTTTTTCTGGATGTGGTGTGGATGGTGCTGATCTCAGCCCCAGAACCCAGGCACCAGCTCCCCACAGCCCCCCTCGGGCTCCCACATTCCCTGGGGGTGGAAGCCAAGGCGTGTGCCGGGTGGGAACACCACGGAGCTGCAGCGGGGCGGCTTTGACAGGCGGATCCCACCCCCATCCTCACCTTCCCCACGAGCATTTGGGGCTGGTGGTGCCCGTGGGGGGCCGGCAGCGCCCGTGCCCACCCCTCCACAGAAGGCTGGAGCTGGCATTTGAATAATGAATTCTGTTTAAGACTGAAAGCTCCGAGATCCATCTGTAACAAGACTCGAAATAATTACAGCTGATGATTGCCTGGTACCTCAGCCAGAAAAAACAGAACAGATTTTGGCCGCCAGCAATTACAAGCAGCACCCGCTTGAGCACAGGGAGAACTTTCGGAAATGAATTCATGAATACATTTGTGGGTTTGGGGAGGGATGGGGTGTGGGGTGCAGGAGTGTGGGGAGGGTGTGTCTGCATTCACGTGGCTCTCAGAGATCTTTTCGGGGAGGGGATGATGTCACAGGTGTCCCATTGGGCTGTGCGTCTGCAGCATCATTTGAGCCTGGGAGGAGCAGGGCATCCATACCCAGACCAGTGCTTGGGGTTGTTACACACACCAGGATAAGAACTGGTGGGGAAACAGGAGATAAAAAGGGAAAAGTGTGGTCAAAGCCATTCCCAGCAGTAGAGAGGCCCATGGATGTGGCAGAAGCGGGTGATGAATTCTGGACTCTGCCAAACATCCGCCCCCCTGTTCCTTTGGGTTTTTCTTGTGGCTTTGCAGTTGAGGGCTGAGCAGAGAAGGAAGGTTCCTCCACCCAACACAACAGCAATGCCCTTGGGTGGCTGCTGAAAACCCACGGGCTGTCCCCGGCACAGCCCCACGTGTCTCCCAGGCTCAGATCTGCCTTCCCTATAATGGGGATAATTTATCAAGTAGTGAATAATACGCTTTCCTTCTTCCATGTCTCTTCCACGTATCATTTCAACCGGCTGAAAATTGTCAAATTAGACTATTTTCCTTGACTGTTCCATTTAGGAGCAGGGGGAGCTGCAGGCTTTGATAATTGCTGCGCGCTGGGCCGACGTCTTGTAGAACGCAGCAGAAACAAGAATGTTTTTGCCCAGGCTGGTGAAACACAGGCTTCCTCTCCTGAGGTTAGATGCTGATGATCTTTAAAAGTCTGTTTTCTTTGCCCCCTGGAGCGTGGCTGGCTGAGGCTGACACGGGGAAACCTTGGCCGCGGGCTCTGTGAGTCGCTCGGGGACTGTGCGTGCGCGGCGCTATCGCTCCTTCCCATCCACCAAAATTGCGTGTGCTCGGAATTGTCCCGGCGTGATGCGTCTGTATTAATCATTGCTCCCTTATCTTGTTCGGCTCCAATCTACAAGGATCTGCTTAGTTCTCCTCTGCACCTTAAATTCTCTTTTATCTCAACTGGTGTCACCACCGAGCCTGCAGACGGCTGCAGCGTCTTTTCCTCCTGCAGCTGGAAAATGCGTGCGGGGACTCCCTGCTCTGCCCCCTTCCCTGGCTTTTTCCACGGGATGTAGGGCTGTTATACAGCCTGGCTGGACTAGTGTTGGCACTAAGGAGGATGTGATGGTTTGTTGTGCACGGGTGTGTGCGCTCTGGAGCCATCCTTGTGGCTGTGTATGGTCCTGGTGGGAGGGATGCTGCTGGTGGGAGGGATGCTGAGAGCCTTTGGGGTGGTGGGGTAAGAGCCTCATGTCCAAAAAAAACCAGTGTGATGGGTGACCTGGGTGCTGTGCCAAGCTGTTTCCTTCCCCCCTGACCAGAATGACCTCACTGACCCCCCAGTTTGTGGTGCTGAGTCCATGTGGAAGGAGGAAAGACAAAGCTGGGGGACTTGATGTGTCCCTGGGTATTTCCGTATCTGAGGCACAAAACATACAGCAAAGGTCCTGGGGTGCTTTTCCTCAGGGAATCACTTGTACTTCCCATCCAAGCTAACCAGAAAGCATTTTATTTTATGCCAAAGCAGCTGCCAGCCCTGAGTAGCTAAGCAGGGAGATTTTGCTGGTCCTTCCCTATATCTTGAGCTGATCTTATGTTCCCAGTGGGGTTTTGCAGGCCCTTTATTTGTGTTGGTATTAAGATGTGGGGATTTCTTCTTCAGTGATCCAAGTTATTTTTTTCCCTTTCTACCTTTATCACCAGAGCTGCTTAAATAAAACAGGACCTACAAAATGACTAGTGACTCCAGGTGCCCAATTTGAGTTATGATGATTCTGAATCACAGAATCACTAAGGTTTGAAAAGACCTTTAAGAGTCCAACCACCCCCATTATAAACTACATCTTCAAGTGCCACACCCACATGTTTTTTGAACACTTCCTGGGATGGTGATCCCACCACTTCCTTTGGGCAGTCTATTCAAATGCTTTACAACCCTTTTCATGAAAAAAAAAATAAATTCCCTAATATCTAATTTAAACTTCACCTGGTGCAACTTGAGGCCACTTCCTCTCATCCTGTCTCTCTGCCCCATCCTGTTTTGGGATGAAACACAGGGGGCTGAGTCTGCTGTCCTGAACTGACGGCTTCCCAAAGCCTCTCCTAGAAAGCTCCATTTAAACCCTGCTCCTTCCCGGAATGCAGAGGCTGTTTAGGGCAATATGGGCTGTGCAGCATCCCTTAATGGGGACCCAAATAAACGGAACAGCTGGTTAATCGGTTCGAGTGGCTGGGAACCAGTTTACCGTGCATTAAGTGTTCTTTGATTCCGTTTAATTGGGACGGTCGCAGAGACCCTGACGTCCGGTAATAAGGACAGTGGGAAGCTGATCAGACAGCTCGTTAACACTCAATTAATGCCGCTCCAGCACGGCACAGCAGCAACTTTTAAAAAATGTCTGTGCTCAGCCGAGGTGGAATGGGATTGCCACGGCAATTTCCAGAGGGCCTGATCCGAGGTTTCCCAGGCGGAGCCGCGGTGCCGGCGCGCAATTGAAGTGGAATTAAGAGCTGAAGTGCAATTTTTTTTAGGTGAATGCAGCCGCTCTACACGGCGCGGAATCAAGTTCATTTTTAATTTATAGGCGCAATTAAGGCGCGCTAAGAATAAAATTCATGAATCTTTAGCTAAGTGACCGTGATTCTTCTGAAAACTCTTTTTGTTCCTCCTGATGTGGGTGATGCGGGCACCTGGCGTGCCTGGAATTATATTAATAGTCAGCTAGTCCCCTTGGCCCTCTTCCCTGTCAGTCCTACACGGGATTTATTCATCTCACCTGGATGTGCCCTTGCCATCCCAGCTTTGCACCCACAGCTGTGGAAAGCATCAGCAGCAGGTTTAGGTGTTGGTTTTTGGCTGGGTGACCTGAGCCAGGAGGGTGGTTTTCTGCCTGTGGTACTTGTTCAGATGCAGAAGTGGAGCAGGGGATGCCAGATCCCATCCTTCACCCAGCCTCTGCTTGGCATGTGCAGCTCTTGAAACGCAGAGGGGCAAAGGGACATGGCCCTGGGCATCTTGAGGTGGAGAGTGGTGGGTGTGGCTCTGCTGGGAGCACTGGAAAGGAGTTGAGTGGAGAAGTGTTACCTGGCAAAGGAGAGAAGCAGCTTCAGCTCTCAGAAGAGGCACCTTGGTCTGTAATAGCTCTGGAGGGTTTTCCCCTGTCCTGGGTGGAAGAAGATCTCAGCTGTTGGGTTCAGCTTTTCTCTCTCCCAGTCTCTTTCCCGATGTTTTTCCTCTATCCAGACCGTGTCCACAGTTGGCATAGCATGACTGGAGGGGTAATTGCCATCTCTACATTTCCCTAATGAGCTCTGGGTCTGCTAACGAGCCTACTGCTTCTCAGCAAAGCAGGTCTAACAGAGCCCTGTGCTCTGAGGGGGCACAGCTTTGATCAGGGGATGGATCTTGTCCCCTGCGTGGCCAGAGGGGGACGGTTCCCTGTCGGCCACTTTGTAACTCAGCTCCTCCAACCATTCACTGCTGTCAACTGTGGGTTTATTTAAGGGCCTGGTTCCCCCCTTCTTTCTTTTCTTTTCTTCCCTCCTTTTTTTTTATTTTTTTATTACATCTGCACAGTCAGTCATGCAAAAAATTACCCGATTTCAGAGATTCAGCTGACTCCAGTCTCGGATCACAGGGGCTGCTTAGCACCACCATCACCATTCAATTAGCCCTGTCACACAAAAGAGACATGCTGGAATAACACAGCCTTGGGATGAAAAGAGGCTCTGTTCTGGGAATGCTCCATGGGGAGCACCAGTGCTTTACCAGCCGTGCTGGTCCTCAGCACATCCTCTGCCCACATCCACTGGGATAATGATGGGGTTCGGGAGGTTGAGTCGAGTTGGACAATGCCAAGAGATGCAACAGGTGGGGATTTAGGTGTTCAGCGCTGCTGACTCCCAGACAGGTACTTTGGTGTTGCTTTGTTTGCTGGTTGTGTGTCTGCTGCCAAATCCAGGGTGGATGCAGGGCAAGCCCAGCCAGCTGGAGCATCTTCATCCTCCCAGGGGACAGATCAGCCTCCCTGCAGCAGCAGTCCCAGTGTGTTGGGGCTGGAGAAGCCCTGGCATTCCCTCAGCTCTCTGGATGTGCCCTGGGGGATGCTGAGCTGTGGGAAGGGCCCCCAGCCCGTAGCTGCATTTCTGTCCTGCCTTTGCAGCATTCACAGGTGGGCTGCTGAGACGGGGGTGAGATTAAACACATGGCTGGAGCCAGCTTGAGGAGGTGGTGTGAGATTTTTCCTTGCAGTTTATAGACTACAAAAACCTGCCTTTCCAACACTTTCCCTCCTTCGCCACGGAGAGCCTCGATTCTGCTGTTAAAATGTGGTTTAAAGGAGAGGCAGGTGCTGCTGCTGGGCACATGTGTCAGTCCCAGGACCAAAGTGGGGCCAACCCTGGACCTCTTTGGCCATCCCTTCCCCAGGAAGCTGAAACACCATGATCAAAAAATCTGTATTTTTAGGATGGTGATGACTGAAGCTAAATCTGTTGCCTTGAAAGGAGGGGCAGAGGGTAAAAGACAAGTTTTTCCTTTCCCTCCACCTCTGCCCTTGAGCAGGAGCTGATAAAATCCAAAGGCAGGTCTCTGCTCTGCCAGGAGATCACACTCCACTCCAGCTTTGCCCAGGAGCCGTGTGGATGAAATATTAAGCACTGGGCTGGAGCAGGTAGAGCAGGAATAATCAGATGAGTAGTTAAAGGTCTGGTATCCTGTGGGGACAAGTGTGATTGATCAGCCTTGCAAAAATAAATAACCCGGCCCTTTAGATCTATGTAGCAATTTTAAATTTTTAATAAATCTGTGTGTATGGTGAAGGATAAGTCGTCACCCTGCACTCTGTGCCTGTGATTCTCTGGGTGAATTTATCATGCTCTGCCTTTTGGAGACTTCACATCCTGCTGATAGGCACTTTGAAACTCCCGTCCCACCTTTATCTCGCCGAGGTGCGACAGAGA